CCAGGTTTACTCTGGTGCCGCAGCGAAGAAGGCCTCTTCCTAGCCGCCTTGGTGCAACACAGGGACGGGGAGCGGTGCTAACTAGTTGATGGCGCCCAAGGGTCACCACGCACCGCCACTATGGTGCCCAGTGCCGACTCAGAGTGGCACACCAGAGCTGGGGTTAGCGCCGACTCCATCAGGATAGCCTGGAGCCTAATGTCCTTTTCTCTCTTGGTCCGAGGCTTAAATGACTTGCAAATCTTGCAGCGATTGTTGAGATGGGTTTTCCCCAAACAGCGTGGAATACACATGAGCAATCGCTCAAAGAAGAATGGAGATTTCCTGTGTGTGGTCATTCTACTAATCATTCATGGGAAAATAAGGGATATAGACATACATACAAAAGGCTTCCTTGGAGTTATTCTGTGACATCAGTGTAACTGAGAGCAGCATGTGGTTCTGCAAAGAGTTGTACTTAAGTTTTTTTCTTCAGCTACCATTGTATCAGACATAACCAGAATGGCAAGAGTGAGCTAAGTGTGTATACTTAGATGAGTATACACAAAATACACTTCGATTCATTTACTGTTACCAAACTTTCATGTGCTATTTAAATAGCATCAGTTGCATATGTTCAGATTCCCAGTGTGCTGTATAGTGGTCATTCTAACATGCCCTCATCCCCACTCAGCAAGGGTGCTCAGCAAGGGTCATGAAACTGCTGATTTTCATTAGGAGGGGGAGCACATGACCCACAAGACAGTAATGTATTGACACCGTATAGCGGTATTGGGTTTTGTCAGTCACTGCCTTTGGTAGCTTTGTGTCCTTGCTAATAGTGAACAAAAGTGAGATTTGTTTCTATAGAAACAAGAGCGGAAACGCTGAGATAGAGTGCCAGGCCCACAAAGGCTATTGCAGTCTTTTACTAACATCTCAATATTGGAAGAATAACTGCTACCAACCCTGGGGCACAGAGTATTTTAAATCTGGCTTCTATTAGCACAAATCCTGTGGCCCAAGTGAGGATTGCAGAAGGCTCCACCTACAGCACAAATGGGGCTGTTCCACTGCATGGGGATGGAGAGAAGGGCAGGTTGTAGAGAGCTATAAGGAATCCACATCCTGTGCGTCATGGCGCTGTGATCGGAGCAGCTTGGAGTGGAGATGTCTATTCTGATCCTGCTGGCACAACCCTGCCTCCTTTCCCCCACTAGAAGAGGGCAGGCAGACAGCAACTACAAAGACTACTGCATCCTAATGACTTGTTTCCACCTGCCCCCGCCTCCAGCCACTATAAAACCCACCTGCTCAAAGCCAGTTGAACAGGGGAGAGGACTGAGTCCATCATGTTTAGTGCAGACAAGCAGAGTTAAGAAGTAGCCAGAGCAATTCTATTTACTTAGAGATTTACTTACAAAGAAGCTGTAAACTTCTGAAAGACCTGCAGATGTGGGGATGTATTCTCCTCCAGGTACATCTGTACAGTCCTATTGACTTTATGGGGTTAAACATGTGACTTCAGTGGGGCTCAACACGGGGAACAATTTAGTTCATGCTCTTCACACCTTACATGTCACTTTCTATACAATTCACAGGCTTGTAAAATATTTAATGAGCTAGGAAAACAGGCCAAGATTTTCAAAAGCAACCTGTGACTTTGGCTGCCTCAGTGTTTTGAGTGGCTAACTCGAGGCACCCATAGGGAGTCTGATTTTTCAGAGGCTCTTTCTGAAAATCGAATCTCACTGAGTGTTTCAAGTCAGGAACCCAAACACCGAGGCAGCCAAAATCACTGGTCACTTCTGAAAATCTTGGCCAAAGCTTGTAATTTATTTTTTCAATATTATGTACAACTTTAGAGCTTGGTTCTGCATTGCTTACACAAGCAAAACTTCCACTGACTGTCAGGCACCCAAGAAAAAGATGCAAACTTACTGGACTAGACCATGTGGAAGCTGCCCCCAATAATCAGTGCATGCAGAGAACTGTTCACAGAAAATATGGCGTGTCCAGGGTATGGGTCTTCAGAGATTATATGAAGTTATTTCCTTATGTCTTATCCAGATGCAGTCACCAATTCCTTGAATGGTTACAAATTGCTCCTGCTATGATTCTGAGTGGAGTGTTCACACAGTTCCATTCTGGCTTGGAATTACATTGTATTTACTTCAAGGTGCTCCTCTTGAGCTGTATTAAAACCCATTTCAGTTTGAGTTCTATCTGCTCATACCTTCCCCACTACAGCTTAGTTGAGCTCTCATGCTAGCCTCCTTGCCTGGCAGTACCTTCTGTCACCTCTTTGGAATGTTGTCTCACAGGTGATGATTTGCTTGATGGCCATTTCTATGGTGCTACAAACTATAAAGTTGTTTTCTGTCAGGAAGGGTGGAGGGGAGGGAAGGGAGGCCTCATTAATTTTGCTGCAGTTCAGTGTCGGTTCCTGCAGCAAAACTGACAAGCTTGTGGGAGATTTTATCTGAAGATTTTGCTGTTTCTTTGGCCTTTGTAAGAGGCACCCATAAAATGCACAATTGGCTGCAGTATTCCTAAGAGCCTGGAAACATTCTATGCATGTTACATAGGGAATGCAGAATGGTGTGCTATAAAGGTTCTTTCAGCATGAATTTGAGCTGGATGCATTATTCATCAGTGGCAAAACCACTAATGAGTTGTACAGGTCATGGCCAATGAGTCCCAGTGGATCCTTCATGCCAGACCACACCATTGGTACTATTCTCTGTATCCCTCTACCAATAAAGCTAGTACCAAGCCTTAGTACCATGGCCAAAATTTTCTAAAGCTTTAGTGGGTGCATGTAGCAAAACATGCTGGCAAAATCGCACGGACACATTTGGGACACATTTTCAAAAAGGGTCTGTTAGCTGAACACAAGTCCCCTACATGTGAGAGAGGGGATCAGATGGGTAGGGGCAAGTGCAACCTGGAGCCCTCAAGCTAGATTTTTTCAGAAAGGCACAAAACCTGTCCACATGCCTGACCAGGTGCTGCTCTAGTCATGACCAGGCCATGACTAACTCACCAGGCTGAAGTTAACGTGCACCAGCAAGTCACTGTCTGAGATGGATGATGGATGCTAGGGGAACACACTCCTAAATGAAGAGTTGAGAGAGAGTTGGAGACCGATAGACAGGTAGAGTTAGCATTTTCCTACCAGGCTTGGGATATGGGGTTGAGCAGAGAAAAGTGGCAGGGCATAATCCAGGATTGAGGATGTTCTTGGGGCTATATAATCTAGGAATATTCTGTTTCTGCAGAAAACTTTCAAGAGACTTTCAAGTTTTATTTTCTAATGGAGTGAAAATGTCGTCATGGTTGTGGAAGAAGGGGTGATCTTTTTAGTAGCTGGGCCAATAGCCTGCAGGTCTTGGAGAATCAGTTCAGTGAAGTTCTGAAGTGGACTTTGATCAATAAGGAACCAAGTCAAGCCTATAAAGCTACCTTGCTCAGTGGACTGGATTGCACAGTGGCCTTCCTCAGGAGCATCTCTTACTCCTGCCTATTCCAATTCATTTTGTTGCCATATTATCTAAATCTAACTCGAGCAACTCCTTTTCCTGAGCATTCTGGTAACCCCCCTATTTTTTAAGCAATAAACCCTGATGAGCAAATACCTTGGCAAAGCCAAGGACTATTAAACCAATAAGAAGACTTCTGTTTCTAGCCAAAGCTATGGCATTTACAAATTTAATATGAACTGCTTTAGTAAAACTGTATTTTCTCTAAGTTGAAACAGAAAGACATGGTGTTTGATTTTAATGCTTGTGATGAATGCCAGACTAAAAGCTTCTATTTAACAATTCTGTAGCCCATGATACACACCCTTCAATGGCATCTGCTTTTGCCACAAAGCACTCTAGCACAAATCCCATGGTCCAAGTGGGGACTGCTGGCAGCTTTGAATTATGCAGCACAACTGATGCTGCTCCACTGCATGGCAATGCGGGAGAGGACAGGTTATAGGACAACAAGGAGTCAAAATCCTGTATCATGGAGCCGTGCTTGGAAGTGCTTGTCACTCCTCCTTATTGCTCCCAATCTCCAGTGCCTCTTGCAGTGGTCATAACAAAGCTGGCTAGATTGTCGGACTCAACGGGTAGTGATCAATGGCTCCATGTCTAGTTGGCAGCCGGTATCAAGTGGAGTGCCCCAAGGGTCGGTCCTGGGGCTGGTTTTGTTCAATATCTTCATAAATGATCTGGAGGATGGTGTGGATTGCACCCTCAGCAAGTTTGCAGATGACACTAAACTGGGAGGAGAGGTAGATACGCTGGAGGGTAGGGATAGGATACAGAGGGACCTAGACAAATTTGAGGATTGGGCCAAAAGAAATCTGATGAGGTTCAACAAGGACCAGTGGAGTGCTGCACTTAGGACGGAAGAATCCCATGCACCACTACAGACTAGGGACCGAATGGCTCGGCAGGACTTCTGCAGAAAAGGACCTAGGGGTTACAGTGGACGAGAAGCTGGATATGAGTCAACAGTGTGCCCTTGTTGCCAAGAAGGCCAATGGCATTTTGGGATGTATAAGTAGGGGCATTGTCAGCAGATCGAGGGACGTGATCGTTCCCCTCTATTCGACATTGGTGAGGCCTCATCTGGAGTACTGTGTCCAGTTTTGGGCCCCACACTACAAGATGGATGTGGAAAAATTGGAAAGCGTCCAGCGGAGGGCAACAAAAATGATTAGGGGACTGGAACACGTGAGTTATGAGGAGAGGCTGAGGGAACTGGGGATGTTTAGTCTACGGAAGAGAAGAATGAGGGGGGATTTGATAACTGCTTTCAACTACCTGAAAGGCGGTTCCAAAGAGGATGGCTCTAGACTGTTCTCAGTGGTAGCAGATGACAGAACAAGGAGTAATGGTCTCAAGTTGCAGTGGGGGAGATTTAGGTTGGATATTAGGAAAAACTTTTTCACTAGGAGGGTGGTGAAACACTGGAATGCGTTACCTAGGGAGGTGGTGGAATCTCCTTCCTTAGAAGTTTTTAAGGTCAGGCTTGACAAAGCCCTGGCTGGGATGATTTAATTGGGGATCGGTCCTGCTTTGAGCAGGGGGTTGGACTAGATGACCTCCTGAGGTCCCTTCCAACCCTGATATTCTATGATTCTATGCTACAGCCTGAGGAGCAAGAGTGAATATGTTCCTGCCCTGGTTTCTCCAAATGAGGAAAGAAAAGGGGTGGGAGAGAGATGCAGAGAAAATGTCTCCTCTGTTTAAATTTTCAGTTTCACCAATTCACACTCCCCTACCCAATAATGTATGGAGCAAAGATGGTAATTCGGAATGCCCTCTGGAAGTGGACATGGTGCATTTCTGCAAAACAAGGGGGGATAGGTTAGCAGAGACTGAATAGAGGCATATATGTTGCATGGGATCCTGCCCCATGAGGGCTCACTGGGCTACTGTGCAAGGAGAGGGCTTGGAGACAGGGCAGAGGTTGGTCAAGGAACTTTTTAATGCATGGTTCCTCTGGTCCTTTTCCCTCCCTCCTGAGGTGGATGGATGGGTGCTAGGAAAAGATTTCTTTTTATTTTAAACCTCCCCACATAGTTCCCTTTCATTCAGTTGAGTTATTCAGGGAGAAGATTTTAGCCTGAGGGTGGGATTGTAGCCACCAATTCATTCCACAAGCACTGTTCACTGTGACCAGAGCTATAGTTATATTAGTGACTTAAAGGTGAAAAAGAATTTTTTCAAAGCACCTAGGTGTCATTGGAGGTCAGTGGGATTCAGCTGACTTTGAAAATGTTATCCAATCCCACTTATCAATTCCCTGAGAGTCTAGTACAACTGGGTACCTAGGGCTGCAAGCCTTGAGTTCAATGGGATTATTTGCATAAGTACTACTCAACATGAGTAAGAGTTGCTAGCTCATGCTGTTTAACAGATTGTAACAAATAAATATTTGTCCCCTTGAAAGAATGAATGTAACATTCTCATTCTTTTAGATCACATTTTTAATGTTTAAAAACTATATTGGTAACAGATTATAGAACTTATTATTTTTTATTTATTTACACACAAACTGGGAAACAATCTATTTGCTTATGTTTAATATGAACAGCACAAAGTATAGTGACGTTAGCAGGAGCAAAGTATCACCCATGAGTCATGACTCATTTGAACACTCCCTTGGAAATTACCTGGTATCAAGTGTACATCACACTGTAGTGTTTGTACTGCAGCTGGGTGAACCTTAACTTACATAGGGACTCTAGGAAATGGATTTAGTATAAACAATCTGAAGTTCAAGCCTTATGAAAAAATACCTTTTACAGTCTGTGTCTTGGCTGAAACACTGTAAACATGCAGCAGTTTGAAAAGCTCTGTAAAAGCGACTAATACATTTTCATTCAAATTTGTGCTCATCTTTAAAACAAATATTACTTCAAGACCTTTCCTTATCCTAGGCTACAAAGCAAGCTTGGAAAATAAATATTTATTTTTAGACCCGTTTCTCAACTTCTATTTTTCATAAATACTGAATACTATATTGTACAGAGTTAACATGGCATGGAATATACTTGATCACTTTGTCTCTAGCACCTGTTTCTAAAGCATGATTATTTCAGTGAGTGAAATTCACCTGGTGTAGCAACCTTCACAAGGCCTGTTCAAGATATTAGTTCCACTTGATCCCTATCAAGAACCTAGGAGCTGACTAGGCATTGTGTGGGCCCTTTGCACAGGGACTAATTTCACCCATCGTGAGCACTGTTTGAATAATTTGCTATTGAGAAAATACGAATACAGGCATTAGAACTGAATTCTAGCAAATTCATTGGACTATATTGGAAAAAATGCAGCCATTTTCTTGCTACATTCATCAATATAATTATAGTTTTAGGTTTAAAGTTTACTGAGGCAACAATGATAAAGGGTAGAGGGGAGGGGATGTACATTTTACTACGTGAGAAGCGAAAGTATTCATGTTTCTGTTCAAATTCGGACACAAACACCTATTTTTGTTAATACGCAGTGACTAACACATCTATTTCATAGGGGATAAACAATAGCAAAAATATACAGCATCCTATTTATTTACAATATAGATACATAAAAATGAAACATTTCATACAATACCACACAACTGCATAGATTCTTCTTTAGAAACAAACATATGCACAGTATGTGAATGTTCAGACCATTTCCCCCCTGTATTTATTAATTTGCTACCATTTTCACAGTTTGTAACAGAAAGCCTTTTTTTTTATACAAATAAAACATTCTTTGTATATGTTATAGGAAAAAGGTTTTCCTGATGCAAAGTGTTCTTGGGAACTTTTGTGTGAGCTTCTTGGTAGCAGGAAATAAGAGCCATTTATTGGTATTGTTGATGGAATAGAATACATACTGTGTGGGTTGGTCCTAAGGATACCAGTGATAGGATTGTGGAACTGGATTGGGGTCATTCAAAATCAGAAGGCTTTTTGCCAAGATGCTCTTTAGTCTTAATATAAGATTAAAGCAATTAGTTTTTGCTGATTTAGGATGGGCTATAGATACCATTATATATAATTAATTATTCATACAGCACCATAAATACGTATGGTGTTTTGTGTCGTGAGGCAGACGTACAGACGAATCCCATGCTGTCCCCAAACATGTTTTCAAAGTTTCATTTAGATGTGTGCCTGGTCAAAACCGAACACACACACATCCTTATTAAGCTCACAAAATCAACCTTCTGGAGTGGATGGATATCCTGAAGGGTAGGAATTACCCTTCTGCAAGGGGCCAATACAAGGGCTGTGCACCACTGAGATCCCACTTACATCCTCAAATTAGGGCTTATGTGGCACACAGGTCTTGTGCAGGCCCATCTGTACACTTCATCCCAAAACAATGTTACTTCCAAGATTCTAGGTCCAAAATTGTAGTAATTTATTTATTTATGTTTATAAACAGGCAGGAGGAGAGAGAACTTCTTCATTTCTCTCCACAGATCACTGTAAATGAAATGCTAGTCAAGATCAAAAGCCAAAAGTAAAGGATTTTATAGGCCAGATCTGTAGCTGGTGTCAGTCAACATAACACTAGCTCATGATCTATTCCTAAAACCTTATTAGGAACTCCTGCTTGGAACTACTCCCCCCCCCCACCTCCTTCTCCCACCACTTTCCAATAACTATAACAGAATAGTTTAACTAGGTTCACGACCAGTCTATGAATTTGCAGTGTCCACAATAGTGACAAGCTCTCTAGAACAGGAAAGCATGCTGCCACCTACTAAGTAGATACAGTACGCTGGATCCTACTTATTTAACAGAGGAACTCCTATAGCATTTTACAGTGCTCTTAAAAGCCTAGCTAAAATGTGGGACTCATACTTTTGTTAGCTACAAGTTCACTATTCCAAACAAACTGAATAAAAGCAGCACATTTTACAGATAACCTCATACAGTGATTCTGACAGTTACAGCAGGGTCTATTGCATTCTGTTAAGAATGTATAAACCTGATGAGAAAATAAAAAAGCATATTATTTCACAGTCTGTACTACAGACATCAACATACATATTATTCCTTTGCATAAATAGCTATATATATATATGATGCCAGTAAATCAGTCTGAGTGAAATCCTCCCCCCCCCATCCTGTGTACAGGGCCAGCACACAGCCTGTTTAAGGACTGAACTCATCTTGCACCCTTTCAGGACAGAAATGATGATGGTCCTATGCCTAAGGGAAATTGCACTCAGTGCATAAATCCTGCTAATTCATTTTATTTTATCCAATAAGACTGCAGTATGCAAGTTGAAGAAGGGGACAAAGCAGGTGAGGAAGAAGTAAAGAGGGAGAGTGCCCAACTCCCATTGAATATCAATGGGAGTTGGGCACCTAATTCATTTGTGACTTTGAAAGTCCCCCTCAATATCTCCTCTGTCACAGTCCCATCAACTCAGTAATCTATGCTGTCAGAAGTAGAAGAGAGAACGAAAAGGGAATGGGAAGGAGGACAACCTCAGAGTACTTGTAGGATAACACAGTCACCTATGAAATTTTCACAGGTTAAAGTTAGTCTTTTAGGGTGTCTACACTACAAACCAAAGTCGACCTATATTAGGTCAATTTACAGCCACCATAGTAATTTAATGCGGTAGTGCAGATCCACACTACCCTTTTTGGGTTGGTGGTGCACATCCTCATGAGGAGCACTTCTGCTGACCTAAGAGGGGCAGTGTGGGGAGCTGAGAGCCTGCTCTCTGAGCTCCTCTGGCAGCTCCCTGCCTGGAGCCCAGCTGCCCCACAGGCTCCCAGCAGGCTGTCCCCCTCTTTGCTCCCCAGTCCTCACTGGGAGCGGGACAAAGCTTTTTGCCCCCACGTTCTCCACAGGGAGCCAGGGGAAGCCACCCGGGGCTTCTCACCCCTCCTCCTGCTGGCAGCTGGCGCAGGGCTGCTTGGGCTTCTCACCCTGACTCTCAGCAGGGCTCCTATTGTGAAATTGACAAGAAAGCTAATGTAAGAGATGCAGTGTCTACACAAACACTGCATTGCACTAACTACACCGACATAAGCCTTATGCCTCTCGTGGAGGTGGAGTTACTATGTCAGTGTAGTACGGCACTTATATCGGCGGGTCAAGGCTGTAGCGTGTACACTGACATAATTAGGTCGACATAAGCTGCCTTATGTTGACCTAACTATGTAGTGTAGACTAGCCCATAGGGCTAGAACCTTACAGGTCCTGAGCACCTCCTGCAAGTTGCTAAGTGACCTCAACTCCCAGTGACTTCAAGCAATGTAAGGCCAAGGCAATAGGAGTGAAGGCAATTCAACAGCTCACAGGAAGTTCAATATCTTGAACTATCAGGTCTGTAAAAAGAAAAAGCTATAGTGACACATAATATCCATACATACAATTGCTAATCCTAGTCTTTTTCCTTAGTTATAGAGTGTGTGTGTGTAAAATGAATCTGCCACTGAAAATGAGAGTCCTCACAAATTGGCAGGTACACTTGAACTTATGAAGGGCATCGTTCAACCCCTGAATGTGCACCTGGACTCCTGTTAGCCATTAGTTCCATTGCTAGTGTAACCCTTCTGCCAGGTGGAGCCAGCAGCAGCAAGGGCCAGGTTCAGTATCT